TAGGTGCAATCAGAGTCAAGAATCCACTTTGGCAAGGTGGACACCTAATAGCCATATAAACTTCATCAATATTAGAGTCATTATAAGCCAAAGCAGCCCTACCATCATTTTTAGACTTATTTGAAGAGTCATAAAGCCTTTTAGGACACTCTTTAATAAAATGACCTCCTTCTAGACAATAAATTTTTTTCTCCCTTTTGTCTTCATTTTATTCTTATCCTTAAAGTTGCCCTTTTTCTTATGTCCAGGTTTGTTTATTGTAATTACCTTTTTTGGGATTAAATTTGGACTTCATCATCAAATTAATGCCACTAACANATTCTTTCTTATCAGATTTTAACTCTAACTCTTTAGATCTTAAAGGATTAATCATCACTTTAGTGGTATCAGAGCATCTGGAAGGAGTTCTTGATGCATTGTGTGTTCGATCTTGACACTGAAATTCTTTTTTGACCAGGACAATATTAGGTCACTAACAAATCAACAAAACTGAAATTATACTTTGTAGAACAAGTACCGTAACAAAAACAAGCATAACACAGGCTAAGAAACACGAAGAAGAAGCAAAAAACTAAGAAGTGAACTTATCTCTAATATTCAAACAAATGAACAAACACCCACATGTTATACTTTACAATCCGATCAGTGCTTCAATCTCAAGAATAACCACAGTTAAACCTTGAATCAGACCCAAAGAAAAGATACAAACATGGATGACACTCAGACAAGCCCAATGTATATCATAGTAAGATCTCTCCTTCGCTAACCACACGATTCACTCAAGAATCAACACCCAATACAAGTAAATCACTCAAGATTACAAGCTATTGAGAGAAAAACAGAAATCAAATGAGATTATTTGATTTCTGCAGCAAAGAAGAAATAACTCGAAGCGGCGCAGAGAGAGCACAGAGAGAATAGAAGAGTTCCGAAGCAGCAGCTGTGGAACTTAAACCCTAGAAGTCCTTTTATAAGAGTCACTCCACAGTCACCAATCTAATGGTGTTGGAGGCAACATGTGGTGACATCTAAGGCATCCAAAATCAGGTAAGTGAAACACAACTTTCAACCATTTTTCAAAACACGTTTTTGCACCAAACAAATTTTAGTTAGTTGGGCTTTAAATTAATTCCAGCTGGGCCAATGGGCAGTTGCATCATTGTACCAAAAATCTCTTCATCAATATAGTTGGAACTTGGAAGTAATCTATGTAAGCACCCAATCTGTGACTTTTTTGCCTCTCTAGCCCACCATAAATTTACTCTTTCATACCAATTTTGTTTAGTTCTCCACCGTATGCCCAAAGCCACTGAGACTTTTCTCCAAACTTCATTTTCCACCTCACCTGTGCTCAGAACGTGGCTAGCTGTTTCTTCCATTCCCGTGAGACAGCAATCACAACTAGAAGCTAAGGCAACACCCATTTGCCGAACTTTATTATCTACACTTAAAGCTCCCGAAAAAGCCTTCCACATTATAACTGACATTCTTTTTGGGAGTGCAGAATGCCATACCCATCTTCCCCAAGGAGTTTGAGGATACCGTACTCTAATCATCTCCCATGCACTCTTGGAAGAGAAGGTTCCTTGACTACTCGGTTTCCAAATAAGAACATCATTCCCTTCTCTACATTTACTCACTTTTCCATAACACTCACAGCTTTGTCTTCCCCTACAAGTTGCAGTAATTGATTCATATTCCAGCCACTATCCAAGCAGACATCTTTCATTTTAAGAGTTGGTTGATCAATATGTGATGTATGCCTTGACAAAGGGCCGTCGTCTAACCAATAGGCATACCAGAACGAGGTAGAACCCTCCCTAATCCACCACAACTATTGTTAATCACCTCAAGAATGCATTCCACAATAAAGCACCAGAACCGAGAACCTTTACAGCGCAGAGTCGAGACATCAATCAATCCATGCTTAGCATATTTTGCCCGGAAAAAATTTACTCATATACAATCTGATGACAGCTTGTTTATTCAAATTACGTCTTCAACAAAATGTACTTTTCAATTGTATCTTCTTGTATAGTTGTCAAAGACATCAAAACTTCATTAGCCTCAGCTATTAAAATTTTACAGGTATTGGGAGCAGCATCAATGGTAGTTAATATTGGAAAACACCCCAGTCAGCTGAATGATTACGTTGCATCTCTTGGAGGGACAACTACAGCTGGCATTCATGAGTTGGAGAAGGCTGATTTTTGGGGAATTTTAACGAAAGTGGTTGTTGCTTCTAGCAAGAGCAGTCGAGAACTTTCTAACAACTAGTTTTGTCACATATAATGGATTAGAAATGTGGCACGTACTCGTAAACAATATTCTTTCCAAATCTTATTTCCCCTAGTGCTTGCACTGTTGTTTTTTTCTTTTTTGTTTCGTAAGATGTTGATGTTTCTATCTGTTGGATAGAATAACAGTAAAGT